CTTTTATTACACGTTGAAATTCAATCAAGTTATATAATTCCAGCATCCAACTTGTTAGGAGTTAGGAGATCCCAAAACTTTAGACTTACATTGCGATGTGTTGGTTACAGCTGAATATGGTGATATTTTGGAATGGCAGAATTGGAATTGTACCTTTCTGTCATAAAAATAAAATTAAAAATATAATCACAACCATGCTAATATAAATGAAATTTAATTACTCTTGTTTTGTGGCTAAAATTAAATATTCACAAAGCATTAATTAAGGGTACTATAAAATGGGAGCTTCTTAAACTGTGGGTCGCGAAAAATTTGAAGAGGCGTTTTCGATGTCGATGATTATGAAGTCAAAATGTCGGTCATCTCCGGAAACGTTGATGATGTTCGACGCCCTTCAGTATCAAAATCTAAATTGCAAAATCTAAAGAAAAACTAGCAAGAAACATTTAAATGACGTCTCATCTTCACAAAAGAAGATTGTTTTATAGATATTTAACCAAAAGATCAAAACTTATAGAAGTGTTCATTAGCCCTAACAGTGGCTTCTGATCATCCAACAAATTGGTTGTTGCAAAAGATTAAACCACTTTCGGCACTTAAAATGGAGGAAATCATAGAAAAATAGATAAAATTACCGATAAACAACTAACTAATAACTAATATTAACCACTTATTTTCCATCATTACCCCTGTACCCGATTGATAAGTGGTTTAGTCTAATTTTACAATTGCCAACTTAAATTAGAGAGGTGGTAACATTAATATACAAATAAAATTAACAATATAACATTTTAATTATTGTTTAAAATAAAATGAAAGATGGTCCAAAATTCAATCTTGCAAATAACATTTATAGTCATTTCGATTATAAATTGTAGACTACGTTAAAGTAAAGAATTTTCGTTATATTAATTAAAATTATATGTAACCACGTCAATTTAAAAACAAAAATAAACATTTAAATAGTAACAATATTTTATTAATGTAATTTTTAGAGTTTTATTTCATTTCATTCGCAATGTAATAGTAAGCTTGTAAACTATAATTATTTAATTCTATACAATCATTGTAGGAAAAAAATGGCAACAGTTTTTATTACAAAAGTCAATGTATAATTTATTTACATTAATACAGAATCTAACTGAAAATTCGAATACAGTTATATAAAATTATAATCTACGTGCTACTATGAATTATCTAGTTCTTCCGTTGATAAAGTTAATACAGGATTGGTAAATACTATCGATCGTCTTCCATGTTTCTGTCTACATCTTCCGGATTTAGTGATCAAAACCCTTTCTAATCTAGGTGAATCGGCAGAAATATATCCATTAGCATCTTCAGATCTTTCATTCCTATTTTTTCTTCTGAACAGACGAAGGAAAGAAAAACAACCTCCACTACAAACTTGTCCCATATCAAAATACAACTAATACAAATTGTTTAAAGATGAGAATCATTTTCAAGCATTTTAATGCCTAAGTAAAAACATTAAAGTAGCTTAAATATCTGTGAATGAAAATTCATTTTTATAAATGAATATTTAACTATATTTTTTACTGTATAATGATAGAGAAACCTACCTTTTAAACGAGAATTTGGCTACAAGTAATGGAAAGGAATTCATTCTATGCCAAGAACTGTGTACTAAACGGAGCAAAACTTCACAAATTATCGAAATAACTAAGGATGTGGCGGGTATTTCCGTCTACAGAATGATAGCTCCAAGTTCCTGTATCCAAGACAAAGTTCTCTTTCTTTTATAGATTTTATGTTGTTTTTAAAATAACTTTTGCCACCAACTTCGTATAAAAATTATTTTTAAATTAAAGGAAAATTTTAATAATTCATTTAGAATTTTATGTATGAAGCAATAAATATTAATTAGTAATTTCTAAAATATTTAACATTTTTTAAAATCTTTATACTATTTAAGTATAAGATATATGAAAAAAATGAAAAAATAATTCATATTTTGTTTCGCCTTCCTTTATCCAAATCATTTTTTATCTATTCCTTTTTACGTCACTATGTGTGTGATTTTTTTAAATACGTCTAACCTTTCCACTATTTAATTAAATGTTAACATTTTTAAAAGAAAGTTAGACATTTTTGTGAATAATACTTTTGTTATATTTTATTTCGATACGCTTAACGTCGTAACAACTAAAGTTGTTCACAAGACTGAACAAATCACTGAAAACAGAATAAAATAAAAAGCGAATAAAATTTTCATAATTACCATCTCAATTACGTAACGTGACATCTGATGGCAAAATTTTTAACTATTCAAAATAGAGCATGGAAAATATAAAAGCTCAAATAAAATTTGTTTATATAAGAAGCGCATCAATCAAGTTCGGGAAATTTAATTTATAAAAAAAAGTAATAAAATAAAATAAATTGAAATATTTCTGATAGAAACATTTCAGTAGTCTTCAAAACACACTCCTCGCCGCCATCTATTTTTTTAACGCTATAGTAATTTATTTATGCCTTCATGAAATGCCCTTTTTGGATTTTCGAAATTTTCTCCCTTTCAAAGAAATTTTCAATTTGGGAAATAGAAAGTGTGGCTAGGTCTGGCGAGTCCCAACTAACAGGAAGATGTTTTGTGTTTAATGGCTTGATTACAATGAGATGAATCATTGATATATTATATGGTTGTTTTTCTATTATATCTTTTTATGATTCGAAATTAGATTTACAGGTAACCCCTGTATAACACGGGAGTTACGTTCCAAAAGATTGCCATGTTCTGCGAAACAAAGAACTAGTGCGAAAGGGGGGTTAGGTTCCAAAAATTAAAAAACATGCTGTTAAATCCTTATTTAAATCGGATTTATTATTCGTTTTTTCATAGGTAAAATACTTATTTAAGTAAATATTTTACCAGAGGATTATTCATCCTATATGATGATCTCAGCATGAGCATCATCAACTGGTAAGTTTTTGCGTGCGTTCGTTAGCTATTAACGAACGCACCCTAATTAATAGTGGTCGCTCTGCAACAGGAGTGCGCTGCTGTTTGTAGGCATTTAGGAACGACGGGTGAAAGAAAGATGGCGGCGCCAGCACTATCGAAAGTATCGTGATGGAGAAATCTATAATTATAAAATGAGCTTTTAGAGGCAAAAGAAGGGTCCCAATTATAAAATTTAACCATTAAATGGATTATTTGTTGAAAGAGCATTCAAAATAGCCACGAAAACAATTAGAATGCTCACGCGGAGTTACACAGAGGTATAAAAGAACGCACCGTTTATTACATTTCATGTTGTACGAGGCAATTCCCGACCCGTGTTAGTGTGAGCCCGTGCTATAAAAGCACCTTGTTATACGGGGATGTTCCCAATTCTCGAACCGTGTTAGAGTGAATCCGTGCTATAGAAGTGCCGTGTTATACGGGGGTTACCTTATTGTGTTTCTCAGGCAGATAAATTTTATCCTTTTCGAATTCAATTCACATCAAATTTCCTATTAACTCAACAGTCTTGAAATAATATTGTCATATTTCACATCAGTTGATGTTCCTATTCCTTATCTCAAAAACCAATCCAAATCTTTTATAGGATTATTTAAAATATTTTAAAATAATTATTGTTCTATGAATAGAATAAATTACAGTTTTCTTAACTATTGAATTTCAATTCATATCATTCTAACAAATTGTAAAAAAGCAAAAATTATAATTTGAGCATCCAATTAACTTATCATAGTTACATGATCTTTAATAAAAGAGATTAATGCAATTAGCTGAATGTAAGTGTTTCTGCAATACGCTTCTTGTTTAGTCTTGTGTTCAATTATACTAGCACTATAATGGCTTTTCCTTTTTTGCTAGACTTATTACACCATCAGTCAGAGAGAGGACAAACTTTAGAAAATAATATCTTTATTTCCCTGGAGTATGCATTTTGGACATTAAGTCCCTTTTCAACTCCAAGTGATATAACTGTTTAGGGAATAATGCTTACAAGTTAGCATAAAAACTTTGCAATGTTACAAAATATGTAAAAGATTTTTAAACTTACATGATCATGAAAAGGACTTAATGTCTGAAATGCATACTCCTCAGGGAAATAAAGATACGATTTTCTAAAGTTTGTCCTCTCTCTGACTGATGGTGTAATAAGTCTAGCGAAAAAGGAAAAGCTGTTATAGTGCTAGTATAATTGAATGTAAGGGTTTAAAGCTTCATAAAACTTAATAATCAACATGAACAAAATTAATTGCATTGATAAAAATTTTTTTATATATGTGTATAAAATATATAAAACTCGTATATAAAACTCTACACCTTATATTCAAATCAACTGACATTTTATCCTTCATATAAATATACTTACAAAAGATGAATTTATTGATATTGATAGATGTATCAATATTATAGTTGAAATATGAAATACTAATACTGGTTTTATTCAAATAATGACTATTTTAAACTGCAAATTTTCTCTGCCATTACTATTTGAGTGGTCATTACTTCCTTTGTGCATACTCACTTTAATTCCATTATTAATAAAAAGTATTTAAACATTTCTCTATGAAAGTAACATACTTTATAATGCATGTTACTTTCTATATGTCAGTAATAAGAAAATAATTAAAAAGTACACCTACTGTATATTATACATTTCATACATTTAAATGTCTATTAAAGTATGTGTTGGTCTATTAAAGTTTGTTAAATAAATAAATATGATATACCTATCATAGCTTTTGGTAAAACTAATATTTAACATTGTTACTGTTTTCAGAAATCTTTGAATAGTAGTGGGGTTATTGTTAAAATCAGTAAATACAAAGTATTTTATTCATTTTTACATTAAAGTCCACAAAATATTTGATAAATACACATTATTTACAATAAAAATAAACTTTATTAAAATAACTAATCAAATTAACAATATAATTATTTATACACAATTGTTATAAATTTCACGTGAAAAAAATCTTATACATAATTCTTTGTTTAATAAATTATATATATCAATTATACACATTCTTATTTATATCATTTTAAGCTTACACTTGAAGAACAAGTATAAAAACCATCCTCACTAGTAGAATGCAGTACAGATATATGAATAGAATTTATTCTTAATGTAGCAAATTTGTAATTTTCATATTCCTGTATTCCAAATAACAATAAATGAAGTTACTGTCATCATTTTTATTATTTAATTATTAATATTTTTAATAAAATTTATACTAAACTAATTATGTTGAAAATGGAATTCTCACCTTTAATATTTGTTTAGCATTAAATGTTTCTCTGGGTTTTCTGTTCCTCCCACTTGACTTTTCATAATCAAATTCACTTGTACGAAATAATGTATTTATCAAAGTTATATGAAGCTTAACTTTATCATATTGTTTAGGCATAAATCCTGATGCTACAAACTTCTCCATTAATTTCTGAGCTAATATTTGAAGTCTACAGACATGGAAATTTAATTAATATAATTTCAAAATTCTTAAAGTTGAATAATTGCTATATTCATAAATAAGATACAATATTTCAAAATAAAGATATATATTTGTATTAGATTAATATATAAATATAAGGGAAAAATCTTATAAATACATCTCAGATATTTCTGGAATGTATCAATAGCTTAATAATAAAATCACTCCAATAAACAGTAATGACAAGTGTTTCAAATAAAAATAAAAATGTACATTGAAGAATATTAAATTGTTGTGAAAACAAAGATCATTTTCCTATAGATAACATTTTTAATAAATGAAAATAAAATTTATGTAGACTCAACGAAAAAGACATATATGAAATTATAGATGAAAAAAGACAATTTCATCCTCAAAGTGCCATCCATAATTTCATCAAAATGATTATATTTAAATTATCCATGTCATTAAAATATTTAATTTTTAAAAAGCTTTGAAATATTTGAGTTATATTAAAATATATAAATGTTTGAATATAAAAAGAGCATATATATCAATAAATACTATCATATTAGAACTTTCTTGTGTAGGGTTTATATTTTCCATATTTTTATACTTGAGCTATTTATAAAATACAGTACACTATAAATATTCTTACTTTAACATTTTATTTTTAGAATTTTGTTATTTTACTTATTTATTTATTTTTTGTATAAGATACTGAAGGCAATTACATCATATAGATCAGTGATTTCCAAACTTTTTCGATCCACTACCCCCTTTGTTCCATAAAGTTATACTCAACACCCCTAACCCATTTTCTCTTGTATGAGAAAGGATTGGAAATATTCTTAGGAAAACTTTTCTATGAATCTCATACTTTGTGCCCTTACCATACATTGTTCTCAATATCTGGAAACCATTAAATGCAATGATTCCTCTTATCAGTTTAACAGAGGAAAGGTAACAGCTTTTAATGACCGCAATTTTGCCTTTGGTCACCGTTCAATACCGTCTATACCACCACCTAGATTTACTCATTACCCACTTTGAGAAACACTGATATAGATAGACAATATTTAAAAAATATATGAGAAGCATTCAAAACTTTTCAAATTATAGTATTAATGATAATTTTAAAAATTTTTTATACAGTATATCATAAATTTAAATTGAAAAAAGTCAGATTTTAATCTTTGTACTGCATGATCATAATATAGTGATTTAACAAATTTTTATAATTATAGTGGCATATAATTTCTATACATTTTTATATTATATAGATATAGACACATGCACAAATTGTACTTGTATAGTTTAATTACATTTATTTTTGCATCATTATATGAATTCAAAACTTTTTAAAAACATTGATTATTATTTGAAAACTACAAACTTACATAATATAGATTAAAATGGACTAAAGTAATAGTTAAAATGTAATGATTTATAACTTCCTAACTTACCTGATCAAAATTAGAAAAAAAATTATTTTAAGTTATTTTTCAACATTTTTTGTTTAGTGAAAAAATTTCATCAATAGATTCATTAAAATATGATTATAAATCCAAAATGTAGTACATTATCCTATTTGAAATTTGAAATGTAGACAATCTATACTAATATTATAAAGAGGTAAAGTTTGTAAGTTTGGATGTAGGAGGTAATCTCCAAAACTACTCATCCAATTTCAAAAATTCTTTCACTAATATTTAGAATGGACCTTCAGGGTAGACATAGGCTGTATATTATTCCATTAAACATTCATATAAATTAAAAGATATCATCTAGGTAAGCATTATATTTTTGGTGTCAGTGGGTATGTATATGAGATAGATAACCACATGGCGCAGTTGTGTGGTCAGCGAGACATGCTGTGAATGTGTTCGAACTTGTGATATATAAAATTACGTCCTGACTGATTCATCATTGCCCAGAGCAAAGCGCTGAACCTAAAGAGGTGAGATTTGGTTAGTGTACGTCATGAAAATGCACACTAAGAAGGGATTTTTTCAAAATTCCCCCATGGGGGAGAGGGAGAGGATTAAGACTTAACCTGAAAAATGTCTTCTACTGTACTATTTTAGAAGCAATTTTTTGTTTTTATAGTAACAACTAATGTTGAGAATCTTAGTGAAGTATCGAGGGAGGGATATTTCTATCAAACTGCAAATTCCGCATGGGTGAAGCCACAGGTAACAGCTAGTTATACAGTATAGCATCGTTTATCCAAAAGCCATTTATCCGAAACGTCAGTTAACCGAAAGCATTCTGGGTCGGCAAATTTAAATTTTCACTAGGGCTGTGGCACTGCAATCTTTGGCTATATCTTGGGCTACTCCAATATATTTTTTGATGGTGTGTGTGTTTTAGCTGGCAGCACTGGCACTTTTGTGTGGTGTTTTCCTCAGGACTGTGTATCATGCTGATCGAACGTTTTTGATACTAGATCAACTTCTAAAGTATATTTCTTTTTGTTTTTATATTTTTCAATATATTTATTTTGTTTGTAAAAAATAAAGAAATAATTTTTAATGCTACAATAGCCATTATTATTATTTTAAGAAGTTTACGTTAGGCTTAACATCAATGAAAATACAACACAAAGAGAGACACGATGGAGAAAAATTTCAACATGGGATAGGTTAATATATTTTTTCATACATAATCGGTTATCCGATCAACCCCAGTCCCCAACTGATTCGGATAAACGACGCTCTACTGTACATATATTTTTTAAATCAAAATTACTAATCTATGCTTCAAAACTCTCAAAGCTCAATAAATACTTTAATTCTGCTATTATTGAGTTTGCTATCAAACTGTTTATTATATCATATTATCAAATATATAATAATAATAGTAACAAAAAATTATATCATATTTTCACTCATATATAAAACCATGTTCTTATAGATGGGGCAAAATCAGCACTGTATTTTGCAAAGTATCTTAAAAAAGCATGCTCTTACTTGTGTGGAAATACAGTATATTAACTTATTGATAATGAGAAAATGACAGAAAATTAAAATTATTTGTCTGCAAAGCATCTTCTATATAAGAGTAAGCATTAAAAAATGTTTCACATAGTCAAAATCAGAATTTCATCTATGACACAAGATCTATATTCTACCCATCATAACATCTAACATTGAAATCCAGAAAAATGGAAATGCCATTATTTCTCTCTTGCTTCCAAAATTTAATCAACGATTTAAAGTACTTTCAGCACACTTTGAGTTAAAAGTTTGTTGTAATCTGCATATGTTATGAGAATAGTTACAAAAGTAATTAGGAAAATATTTAATTTGTTTATAATTATTTGAGATGAAAAGGATTTATATTCTGGACAATAATAATGGCAGTATATCTGATTCCATTATATTTTGCATTTTAAAAAATTTACTCTCTTAATTTTTTAAAGTAATTTTTTAGTTAAAATTTGTTATTCCTAATAACTGTCCCACATAACCAATCAATGTAATTACATTAAATTATTCTTTGTTTTATAAACATTGTGACTATCCATAAATTATATAATGCAGATATGTGTGGTTATGCAGGTAATTATTAAAAGAGAATAGAGATGATTACAAAAGCATTAAAAACATTGCTTTTTACATAATTAATAAAATAATGTAACATTCAATATCCTGAGCTGTGTATTATTCAATTAATGAGGGGCCAACCTAAGATGTGCATTGTGGAAATGGGTATGTGTGACACATTACAGCATATTACAGATGGTAGTTGAAAAATATAAAAATAGCATTATTAATTTATAGATAATCCTAAATACCAATTCCTAAAGATCATTATTATTATTTAACTGAAACAAAAACTAATACAATCCATATTGAAACAAGTAGGAATTTAATACAAACTATATGTATATATCAGTGCTGTAATTCATTCTGTGCCTGCTCATATACTTAATAATCTGTTATGCATTATATTTATTATTATTAGTAATGCATTACATTTTTTCAAACTACAATAATATTAAATAAAATGATAAAATTATTTTTATCATTTTAAGGTAAATTATAAAAATATACTGTTATTTTCATTATCAATAACAAATAAATCAGTAAAAAATAATAATAAAACTAGTTTGTTACTTAATGCCAGATTTTCAATTTTTGTTTTTATTAAAAAGAATAAAGAAATATTTAAAAATCATATCAGGATTCAAAAATATTTAATACCAACAATTTTTTAAAAATTTATTTTACTATTTGTCTGGAAAGTTTCAAACTGTAATAGCCATCTTAAAGAGAAATTATATAAAATGTAATATTTCACTAATGAATTTTTAATTTCACTAATGCTTTGTCCAACTGATTAAAAATTGTTGTTGGCGCTGACAAAACAAAAATTTATTCTCTAGAACAACAATGATTTTATGCTATAGATCAGTTATATGAAAACTGAAATAGTCTAATTGCATAGAAAAATAATTCTAAATAGATAGAAACAAATGTCAACATTGCCACAGCAATTTCCTTGTTTTAAATAAAATTTGATTAATTTAATGAAATTCTTAATATAAACATATAATACCTAACCAATTACCAACAAACGTAAAGCCAATAATAGTAAGGGCTTATCACACCAATGATAATGGGCACAAACGCTCAAGAATCAAAGTAAAAACATTTAATAAAAGCAAAAAAGGAATGTACAATAAAAATGACAACATAAGTATGGAAAATGAAAAAACCCAAAATGCATTTCAGACTATTTTCTAACAGAAAACAGTCCCTCATCAGTTGGTAATGACTAAAGGTTTTAATATATTTAAAATTATACAAGGTAAATATAAACTTAAAAACTATACCTAAAGCTATACAATATATAGTTGAAAACCCAAGTCATCTTTGCAATGCAGTATGCAAGCAGGTGCAGTCATTACAACGTAATGACTGCACCTGCAACTCTGACATCTGCAATTAATCTTCATAACGTTGCACCTGCAACGTTATAAAGATTAATTACACCTGTCGACATTGATAATGCTTACTGTTATAACAGTGTTTTCATCTTTATATTGTATAGCTTTAGGCATAGTTTTAAGTTTACCTTTCCTTTGTATAATTTTAAATATATTAAAACCTTTAGTTAATACCAACTGATGAGGGACTGTTTTCTATTTTCTGTTAGAAAATAGCCCGAAATTCATTTTGGGTTTTTTGTTTTCCATACTTATGTAGTCACTTTTATTGTGCATTCCTCTTTTGCTTTTATTAAATGTTTTTACTTTGATTCCTGAGCATATGTGCCCATTATCATTGGTGTAATAAGCCCTTACTATTATCAGCTTTACGTTTGTTGATATTTAATTGGTTAACTTATATCAAGGGCTAGAAGCAACTTTTGTAATAATTTATATAATACCTATTTGATCCATCTGTACAACTGACTTTTGCATATAATACATCGACAGCTCCTGGATCATCATTCATATATTCAATTCCTTCTACTTTTACTTCAAGTGGATTTTCTTTCAATAATGGCCTAAATATGAATAAATATGTTAATTTTATAATAAGAATATGTATATATTCTCATTATAAAATTATCTGTATAAAATATCTGTATAATATATAACAACATACAAATGAAATAGAATTATCTTAATTAATCCTTTAAATTTTAATAAATGTTTTCATTTCTTTTTAAAAAAACAATTTTCAAGTTACACAATTTAAGTAAAACACTAAATATTAATTTATATATAAAATTAATTTCAGTTTTCAGTAGAATACTTCAAATTGTATCATAGTTTTAATTTCTATCAATAAATCAGTGCGCCAAATTTGAATATCAAGAGATAAAGAATTTAATTTACGTAACTAGAATTTATAATTAGAATCAGTAATACAAAGGGTATTTTTAAAATAAATCCCATTTTTTGAGAAGAAGAAAAATAATGTAAATATCGTTAAAATATATTTTTTCCATATTCTACATTCTTTTATCTACTTTTCTACATAATTTTCATTTTTGTTCAAACTCAACCGCTCAAAAATTTTTTAAATTCCGACTTCAAAGAAATCTGCCGCCTGCCGCTGGAAGACATTAGGCCACGCTGCTTGTCTTGTATGGAACGGTGAAATTTTCTCAACGTCATGCAATAAGCATTAGAATTGATTGTTGTGCCTCTTGGCATAAAATCCATGAACAAAGTCCCTTTCCTGTCCCAAAAGATATTATTCCAGTGCAACAGTATATAAATGTCTTGCTTTCGGTCATCTGGCGAAAAGTTGTCCATCTTCAAAGAGGGTCTGTAATCACTGTGGAGATGATCACTTGTTTAAAACATGTCCAAAGAAAAGTGAGACGCCCAGATGTGCAAATTGTTTAAGAGATGATTTGGACAAACATGATCATAATATGTTAGACTAGGAATGCCCAGTCTATTTAAAGGCAAAAGCTCTTTACATTAAAATAGCTGATTACTTGTCTTAGTACATTGGGGTTCTGGGGGACATGAATACATTTTAGCAGTGTTACTTCTGGTTTTGACTGGATACAATGGAGTGAAGGAAGATGTCATTTTTCACTAGTTGGTTCTTGTAAGGACTTGGCTGAAAGAAAGTTCGAGTACTTTTCCCCATACACTCCATTTTTAGTTGGAAAATTTTTGGGCATGAAAACCTAATGTTCATCAATCTTGTGTGGATAGACTTTGTTTATATGCTGAGGTAACTTAAATGGTAATGTGAGCATGCAATGCAAGGTTATGTGTAATTTTTTGGTTACTTGTTATAACAGTTTACTGTACTCGTTCAGTGCTGTTACTCTGTTACAGGTGGGTTTGTACCTTTTGTATTTTGTGGTTCAGTGTATCGCATTTGCATCTGATACAGACAAAATGATCTGTTTGGTGCTGCAGCAAGCTGCTGCAATTATGTTCTGATTCTTTCTGATTGTTATGTGTTTTTCTTTTCCACTTTTTCATTAGTGGATAACTAATTTGGTGATACTTTTGTAATGGATATGCCCGTTGTGCTCAATGGTATAGGGCATTGTACTGTGTTATAATTGTACAATAAAACTAATGAAAAAAAAAGTCCCAAAAGACAGTTACCATGATCTTTCATGCTGAAATCGAATAACAGATTGTATCATACAGTCGGTGGGATACTCAATTTTCTTAAACATTATAAACTTCTACAGCTCAGCATACAGACAGACGATACAGCTGCGTGGCATGCATGGATATGGTACCTAAACACACGCAAAGCATGCTGAAAGCAGATGCTCATGCACACTGTTGCAATCACACATCATTCTCACTCTCATTCACAAATGGACCTTATTTAAAAAATAGCCCTCATATTAATAAATCATTATCACAGACATACTACTTATAAACATATTTATTCTTCGTTTCATTTCATTCTTATTATTAACATACTTCTGAATATAGTTTCTTATATGACTAAATTTGATACAAAAACTAATTTTCTAAATCTTTCTTTGAGGAAAATGATAAATTAAAAAGCTGCATTCTCATGCCTGCACCCTCATTAGTGAATACTTTAATATTATAGGATTACTTGCATAAAATATTCTTTGCTACTGATATTTAACCATCAGATGTAATAATTGAAAGTAGCTGTTTTCAATAAATTTAATAATAATTTCATCATCATATAGTTTTATATACTGTTTAAATGACTTGTCTGTACACTAAGTATTTTTGATGGAAAAAATACAATCTCTTGAGTTTTCTTGAAAAAGCACTTTTTTGATTTTTTATCTTAAAAAATATTTTCAATCTATAACATTGAAAATCATTAAGGACCAGTTCAGCATTCCATTTCAATAACTAAATTGGATCACTACTGAAAGTGAACTGAAAATGGAAAAATGCTGAAAAGGATGAACTCAAGTGAGATTTAGAAATTTGTTGGCATGTAATAAAAAACATCCTTAGTTGAATTAAGTTTATCAATTATTCCTAAAATTTTTTCATTGATTTGTATTGAATGTTGAGAATTAAATAGAAACTTATTAATTTATGAATGAAAACAAGAAAAAATTAAGATATCAATCACTGTTCAAAGATACAATACCAATATCTAATAAATTATAAAATATGTGAATAATAATAAATATAATTTATTTCTTATAAGTAATATATTATGTGTATATGTTACTATGAAAGATTGATATCTGGCAAATGTCGAGATTCTCTGGTGAATGTCAGCATTCACACAGACATTTTGTATATGTATAAAATATTTGCTAAATATCATTATTCTCACTTACACCGGCAAATGTCGAAATTCAGCATGCACTGATGATGAATGTTGAATAAAAATATTATTACGTTAAGACAAAAATGCAACTTTTTAATTTGTCAAAATAGGAGAAAGCTTAAGTAAAAGCACATGTAAATAAACTATTGAACCTAAAACGAACAGTACATTCTTAATCAGAAAATAAAAATAATATGCAATAGTACACTTACACATATATTTTGTGATTAATGTTATACAATCTTATTTATTGCAACAACTTAAACTGTTATGACACTTTGAGTCCCTTGTTTTCACAACTGCATTTATTCGTGAAACACTTCTTTTTGCAATGACAGTGTGTATAACATTGCCTTCCACTTTTCAAATTATCTGCAGCTGCTTCTCTCAGCGATATTTCTTGAGAAGAAATCTCCTCTATGGAAAGTAACTTTTCTTTACAAATTATGAACTGATTACGGGTATAAAGCCGCTTGAGTGTACCTTTTTTGATTGCAAATTTATAAAAGTCAGAGTCTTCTATTCTAACAACAACCACCAACACATTTGGGCATCTGTACGGTCACTGTCGACATCAGGGACTTGTATTCGTACTGTATCACCAAATTTGAGCAGGAGGAAATTTTCTTTTTGAGGTTTGTAACATTTTCGTTGCTTGTAGTAGAAGATTCTCTTTTGTGGCTGCTCTTTTTATAGAAATAAATTTGTGTTGTTCAGTCAGAGCTTGACATGAAGGCATGGTGGGTTGCAGCTCCTCTTCAATATTTTCTTTTGGAATATGGTATTCGTTATGGCCACTGCTAAAATTTCCTTCAAAAGTATTAGCAATTTCTTCAAGCTGTTCTTTGGTTTCAATATTTGCGATTTGTTCACCAGGCAAAGATGACTATGCTATGCCTTTTTTTTGGTTTGATGCCAAACATGGCTTCATAAGGACTTTGTCATATTCTTTCATGATATGTAGTGTTCTTAAAAAATTGTACAAAGGGCAAACCATCTGACCATTTATTTGTATCATTATCGTTCATCCATGCAGTTAACATATTCTGTATATTCTGATTGGCCCTTTCAACTGAGCCTTGTGTTTGACTATGATGAGGCTTTCCATGAACTATCTTAACATCTTTCCACATAGTACATAGTTCGAATATGACTTGATTACAAAAGAGGGCGCTAAACGGCTTAGTCAATGGATGCAGGAAAATTTTGCTCTGTATTCGAATTGAGTTTTTGCTGAAATTTTTACTTTAAGCTCTAAGTGTTATATATTTCTGGATAGCATTTTCCGTGTGGATTAAGAATCTGTTAAGTTTTTCAACGTACGACAATTTTTCGCGAAGTTATTAGTTTTTGAAAACTGAATACTTTTAAAATTTTCAACATTCTTCTACAACGACTGTCGCCATAGTAACGGTTCATAGAAGATTCCAGAATTTTTACCGGAAGTCTGATGGCTATTGAAGAATTTCTGGAGGAATCTGAGGAAGCCATTGAGGATTTAAAGAGATATTTCCGTAATAACCCAAAAGGGCGATTGGGTACCGAGGAACATATTAGATTTATTACAGATAAATTTATTACCTTAGTGAAGAGCGCCGAAGAGGTAATTAGGAAAAATTCCATATCAGATTTCCTGCTTCAGAAATTTGATTTGTTGGCAACGAAAGAGGATGTCAAACAGCTGCTTGTTGCTCAGAGTGACAAAAATTTAGAGGCTATTCAGGAAGTGAAACAGACTATTTGTGACTTAGAAAAACCTCCACTTTTAGGGGTGGAAGGTTCTCAAGGGACTACTGCTCTGTCATATAGAGATATTTTACAACGCGATCTTAATTCTTTGAAGAATACACAGTCTGAAAAGGAGTCCTCGTTACCAACATACACTGTTCTAGTTTACAATGATAATAAAGAGAGCACATCGGAAGAGACTAAGACACTGCTCACTAATTCTTTTGATCAAAGATTGCATAAGGTGCCTGTCAAGCGTATTCGTAAGATTAACAAGGGTGGAATTGCTGTTGATTTTCCTATCAGAGAGGAGGCTGAATACTTTCAGGAACAATTAGACAAAATAGAAGGATTAAAGGCACGAAACGCAAGACGGCGTCTTCCTCTTATGAAAGTGACTTCAGTCCCGAACTCAGTTACCAAAGAGGACCTACTAGAATACCTGCTTGAACAGAATATTTTTTCACAGAAGTACACGATGGAGGAGTTTAAAAAGGTTTTAAACATTCGATTTTCAATCAAACAGAGAAATGACGAGTTTTTATCGTGGGTATTAGAGATGTCACCGGAGGTTAGGGCAATGACTAAAAAACAAGGATATTTTTATGTTCAGTGGAAAACGTGCAAGGTTTATGATTTTTTCCCTGTACGACAGTGCTACAAATGTCTTGCTTTTGGACATTTGGCGGCAAGTTGCCCATCACCGAAGAAAGTTTGTAGCCATTGTGGTGATGATCATTTGTTTAAGACATGTACAAAGAAAAGTGAAAAGCCTAAATGTGCTAATTGTTTGAGGAGTGGCCTAGATAAACATGAACATAACACACTGGATAAGGAGTGTCCACTCTACATTAAAGCAAAAGCCTTATATATTAAGACAGCTGACTACTTACCTTAATAATTATGGAATCCTTTACAGGACACAAATTGTTTAATTCATAGTGCTACCTCTGCTCCTTAGCACAACAACTAATACAAGCAGATCATCACTTCTCTATATACATTTGTGTTTGCTGACTGTAAGAAATATGTAAGCTTCATCATCTTTCTCTGTTTTTGGGTTTAAAGTGTTGGAATTGATACTTACAATTACTAGCTGTGTGGACTTTGTTTTTTTTTTTTTACTTGTATGCATATTATATATGGACTCATGGGATTCTCAAATCTTTGTCTTACAAATTTTCTGCACGGGATAAATTCTGTTAAACACTTTGTCAGAATTATTGTATTTACTGCGACCTTCATTTGCGAAAATATTCCTGCAGATAAGTAATCTGTTATATGCTGCAGCAAGCTGCTGCATATTTTGTTCGGGTCTTTTATTGTCATTGTGTTTTTATTTTTATTTATTTATTTTTTTTTTTAATTTTTCTTTTCACTTTGCTTTGTTCATTAGTGCATACTGTAACTCGGTGGAACTATTTAACGGATATGTTCCTGTAATGCTCACAGCGGGGCAGGACTTTGTACCTTGTTTTAAATGTACAATTAAACTAATGAATGAAATGAAATGACTTGATTACAGAATTTCCTACCATTATCTGAATGCAATATAGCTGGGACACCAATGTTAAAAATATTTGAAGAAGGTGATATGCTATTTCTTCAGCCATCTTAGTTTTCAAAGGTAGTAATTAATGCCTGTAACTTTTCAAAAAACAAGTTCTTGGTTCACTGCAGTAGCCATTCAATAAAAACTAGGGCATCGAATAAAAAAAATAAAATTTAAGAAAACGTTGCACGCACCAGCAAACCTTGCATAAGACTGACAAACAGCAGTGTTCCAGAGTATAACAAATAGATACCACGTGATTTCAATTGCAGCAGAACAAAGTATTTGGTGACAGACTGTCGTCTTTCTATCGACATCGGCTTCGGCTTCTTGGATGTTGTTTCAACCTCTACCAAAGCTTATCTGTGCTTGTCAACATACACCTGCGATTGTTCGAATGTATAATAATATAATCAAATATTTGGTCTTTCACTGACATTCACCGGAGAATACCGACATTCTCTAATTTTGGTCTTTCATGATAACATATATTTTACATGAGCTATAAAGAAATTTTAACACTGGAGTAGATAAATTACCCAACTTCACTGCCTGTAACTGGTGTTCTTCAGAGCATTGGAGAAGAAGAACACTGGTTACAGGCAGTGAAGTTGGGTAATTTATTTTACATGAGGTTATTCATCAATTGATAAAACTTTTAACATAGCTAAAATGCTTTAGTTAATTTAAAAATTCTTTTTACTTAATTATTTCTTTCTGACATTCCTCCAGAATTTTTGCTGCCATTTTTCTCTCTCTTTCATCCATTAACACCAATGTTCCTATCGTTAAATGAAGTTTTTCTGGTTTTTGAAACAGAGACACATCTAAACCTTCTGTCTGAAAAAATTAAATTTTATAAGATTGAATATATTATTTATTTTTTGTCATAATAAAATATAATATTTTACATTACTATATTTCTTTAGAATATTTTCTTTAAAATTTATGAAATTTTCTTTCAATTGCTGAATGTTTAAAGGAATACAAAGAAAATGGGTAGGTGCAGTTTTATTTCTAATAGTTTCTACTAAAAGCAAAACTCTTCTCATAGCTGATGAAACACCTTTTTTATCCATTCCTGTAATTACTGAAAAAAATTATTAAAATAATAAATTTTTAAATAAATATAATTATACAAATAATAATTTTAAAGCAAAGTTCATATTCTGTACAAAAATCTATCTTGGCATAACAAAAAAGAAATTGAAAATTCTAGACTTAAAACTGTGTTTTTCCAATATTTACATCAATAAACATGTATTTAGACTTGTATATGTTGAGAAGATGAAGTTTCATTATTCTCTTTGCAGTTTAATTGATTAATTTACTTTAAGTGTTTTTTGCCTTTCATATGACTAATAAGATTATCCTCTGTTGGACTGGCAGACTCTGTTTGCAAATGTCTGTAAAGATCATCCAGAAAATAACAACTGTTTGACTGTAAAAGCATTAAAAAATATACTATTTAAAAAACTTTTTATTTCTTTAAATATCAGATACATTAGTCTATTAAATGGTTATAAATGGACTGTTGGCTGATAAGTACATCACAGGATTTAGCTTGTGGACAGACATTGTATGACATAAAAATAAACATTTTTATATCATATAATATGCTGGATCAGATTAGCAATAATAAAGCACTTTTCCCGAACCTAGACATCATGCTTAAAAATGGATATGTAAGCACTAGTGTAAATGGAAAACCAACTTTCCACTATCTGTATATCCCCAGTTGCTCAAATAATCTATCTAGGTACAAGATAATGGCATCATAAGGGCTCACACCCACTGCAATGATATGAAACACCCAGAAAAACTTGCCAGGATTAGAAGCACAGAAGCCCCATATGGGTTCAACCAATGCCATATCAAAAGTTTAATTGATATATATGCCTGAATTAGAAGAACAGGCTCCTCTCAATACATGGCAATAGCAGTAATGTACAACAAATTGCTTGATAGAACATTCTGTAAAACTACTAAATCACAGACAAAACAATTACTATACAAGTACAATTGTACTATTTATAGCCTACTGCAAAATGTTAAAGGCCCTGTTATTTACAAAATACCATGTATTATAGAGCTTGAAAACAGAGATAGCATATATATTAATTATATGTGCTGTAATCTCCCCACATAACTTAAAGAATATCAATATGATGTGGATACAGCAAAAGGCACAACATTAGCAATCACTACCATATTTCCAGAAAATAGTCTCCACTTTAAAGATGCAAAATTTCTACAAATGGCCAAAGACCAAGCCATCAGAAAAACTACCAATAAGATAACAATGTACAAGCATACTATTAAAAATTCAGGCATTAAAGATGCTAGTTGCCTGCCCATGGCTTGAAAATACATTTTAGATGAGTAAAAGGCTACTAACACAAAGTCTAATTCTAATTTTGCTCATTTATAGTGTATCTGTGCTTTATTTTTATTTGTTGTATTTTTTGTTACATTTTTAGATACATAGCCAAACAATCACCTTAAATGCTCAGACTATAAATCCACAATTTTTAATAATTAATATTAAGTAATTTGCTACTAGAGGTAGACATTAGCTGCCATCTCTTATCTAAATTAATAATTATAGTTTAAATAATTTAGAATCATCTGGAAGAAAAAACTGGCCTAGGACAGGACTTGAACCAGCAACCTGACTAGGTTCAAGCTTCAGGTTGTTTAATATCATTACATTTTTAATTTAATTTTTATTTTTATTTGATGTATTCATTTTATTTATCAATTCTGAAGCTTTGTAGTTTTAAAAATTGTTTTCTATATGCCATATTCCAATCAGTTACACATTCAATCCTGAGGATGCTTGCCCAGATATCAAAAATGTTTGATAAATAAAATATTTTGTGTAGGAAAAGGGTTTATGTTTTGTACAATATGTAAATATTTTTATTTCTATTATCTTAATTACTATCAAGAACTTGTTAATATTTAATGACACAATCAATCCTTAAATGAATTGAATAAACACTTATTATTTAAGTGAGTATATAAAATAGTTTACCAATATCTCCTACTTGACCTTGAAAAGGCACATTAAGTTTTGTTCTTGTTTCACTTTCCACCCTTTTCTTAGTATTACCTTTGGAACCAATTACATAACTGAAAAGGAAAATCAAATATTTTCATTAATGCTTCTTAAATATGATTATTAAATATTAATGAAAAAATCTTTATCTATTCTATCATAAGTATTTAATTTACTGTATATTTTAAAAAATTTTCTTAAATTTTAATCCTAAAGACTATAAACATAAGCAAGAAGCACAAAATTATCATATGGTAAAGAATCATCTACAATGTTCATCATGTTAAATGCTCCTTACTCATATTAAGATTGGTTAGATAAAATTTTAATTAAAAGTGCAGATATATTTATTCTGTGTACATAGACTTAGAGAAAAGATATAAATTATTTAATACTTAATCTTTCTAAATAATGCAAACTTCATATATAGAAATAAAATGTGCTATACAATCAGATCATTAAGTACAGTTATTTTGGTCAACATTTTAGCTAAATGCCTACATTTGGACCAAATTACTGTATTAGATTTCAAAAATTTAAAATCAAAAAATGTTTATTAGTAAGTTTATATATATTTATTGAATCAGTAGGACCCAACAAAGAAAAATTAAACCAAATTATGCACATTATTAGGAAAGTCTATAAATTCAATCCACTCATTCATTTCTGCAATGACATGTAACTAATGTATAAGATTTTCTTTAAAGTTCTGATGAAACATAAATAGAAAAAACTTATTGCTAATACAAGTTATTAAGTGTATGACTGATAAAATTTATGACATAAAACAAACTATTTTGTAATTATTTTCATGTCTTAAGAATTAATAGTAAATATTAGTATTATGCATATTTAAAGTATGAAAAAATAAGCAAAATTTTATTGTGCACAATTAGCACCCTAATAAGATTATAAGTCATCTTTATACAAGAAATACCATTGTTCAGAAGCAACTCTTCACAATATATTTTGCTTTAAAGTTTTTCTTATTTCTTTCAGTTTGGCCAAATACATCTAAAATTGTCCTATTAAGTTCCTTTCATCAATTATCTAAAACAAACCCTACAATTCTATATTATACATACTTCATAAACAATTTAATTTTGTAACATACAGCACCAATCTTATGCACTAAGGGGCCATTCATAAATTACGTAAGGTATTTTGGAGTGGGTGGGGTCAAGGATTTATTACAATTTCTTTCTCAGGGGTAGGGGGAATAGATCTCATCTTATGTAATATTCTTATTTTTTTATCTCTATAAGTGGTGGAGTTTTGAATTTGGCTACAATTTGGCCATTTCTATTAAGAATGCTTGTTGTACTAAAGCCATCTCATGTGACGTGATAAAATAATAACACTAGCAGACTCACACTCTACATGTTTTTTTCATGGGAGAAAGGCCGTGTGGTGGTTTCTCTCTCTCTTGCTCTTTTTTTTTTTTTATTAGAATAAGTGCACGACTCCTATGGGTGTATAACACTAAGAATACATAAACCAAAATACACGATATAAAGTAAACATAAAATTAGTATTCGGCTTTTAGTGAAAACTAAAATGTAAAACTAGATATTAGAAATTATAAATAGGGTTTTCTTCCATGTTTTTTGAACATGATTGTAAAAAGCATCAAACAGTGGTTTCTGAACAAGCTTATCAAGTGAACAAGGCCATCTGAAACCAAGCGTAAAGATTTCTAATTTCAGAATAAGTATATGTTGATCATAAATTGGACAATGATAGATCATATGGTCGATGATGTCTAGTTTTCTGTAGAGCAAAAGCAAGAGAGAGTTTCTGCCCAGTTATACATTGCCAGGTAGCTTCTAAAATTATCATGGTAAGTAAGTAGTTGAGCAGTAGCAAATGTTAAATCTCTAAGTGGTGATGAGAACTTGCATTCAACACTAGGAAAATAAAGTCTTGTTATTTTACATTGTTGATTCCATTGTTGATTCCACTTTTTCATAGCATTGTCAAAAATGTAATTTTTAAGGCTGCTACGTGAGAGAGGGATGTGAGTGTAGTCCAAGTCAGTGTCCTTTGCAGCTGACTTAGCCTCAAAGTCGACTTTTTCATTTCCAAGTATGCCAGAATGGCCAGGAAATTATATAAAAGTTATCTTATTTACAAGATTTTTAATATGGTGCTGGATATATGTGATTTTATTGCTATTGCAATTGGGATTTAATAGAGCTTTTAGGACAGACTGAGAATCACTGTAAATGTTGATAGACAGTTTTGTTTGGTAGTGAAGAGGCCCACTAAACAGCTTGGTAGTCAGCATCTTCTTCAGCTTGATAGATGGAGGTATGTGGAAAGTATTTGTACCTTCTAACATATTTTGGGCAAACTATGTCAGTTTGAAGGAAGATAAAGATACTTGAGCCAACATGAAGGGAGCTTTTAGACCCATCTGTGTAGATATTGATGTCTGCATGGTTATCCATGGAGGAAGCATATGACACCAAATGTACCCTGGGGATAACCTTGTTCACAGGGTGAGGATCACAGATAGTAGAGTAATTGCAATGCAGTAGCATATGAACAGCCGTAGATAGGAGTAGAGACTTTTGTTGAGCCTTGATGTTTGTAGTTCTGATGTAGTAGTTTAGAACCTTTTCTACAATACATAGTGGCAAAGGAAGGAGCTCTGCTAGTATCAGAGGCATTAGTAGAAACAGTTATGCAGCACTTTGAAATTCTGATGGCAAACTGTCTTTGAAGAGAGTAATTTACTTGCTACTGAATTTTTACTAGTTACATGACCCCAGCTAGAGGCCTTGTAAAGTAGCATTGGTTGTATTGCCCCATTATATAGAGTTTTACAAGCTTTATGATTTAGTCCCCAGGTGCATCTAGCACATTTTAGCAACATGTAGTTATTTGACCTTATCCAAGATGAAATTAATATGGCAACAAAATGTGGTTTCTATTCTCTCTTGTTTTATTTTGTATGATGTTTCTGTTTACACTTGCACTAGCTAGTCAACCTGTCAGTTTTTTGCATCCTTTTGTGAAAATTAAAATTAATATGAAAATGAATATTATGATGTTGATTAATGATTATAATAATAAAAAAATGATTGTTAATAATTAAACAATAAAGTTCTTAAAATAAACTGTTTGTTCAAATTCATTAAATTTTTATATTTTTAAATTTGTTCACATAAAGTATTTTATAAATAATAGTACATATTAACTAAATAATTAATAATTATATATTTTGGACCTAAGGTTTTTAGGGTTTCATAAAAATTTTTTTTGTTAAAATCTTTCTATAAAATTATGTCTAAATATTACACAAGATAGGGAAGGGGAGGGAATCAAAGAAAATATTACAGTTTCTTACATAGGGGTGGGTGAGGGTCTAGAATGGCCAAAATTGCCCTTATGTAATTTATGGACAGCCCCTAATTATATGTCAGCAATATACTCTATTTCAAATAAACATTTTTAATTCACTGTCGTAAAGAAAACAATGCTCATTTTAAATATTGTTTTAGGATACCATTGTAATGGATATCATTGTAAATAATTTTTCTACTTTTAATTTTTATCAGTTTTTATAAATCATTCAATGCTGCAAAAAGAAATTTTTGAACAGTCACTCATAAATTCTTTTCATAGCTTTATCCATGTAGAGATGACATATAAACCTAGCAAGAGGACAGATTACTGAGCAGTTAGAGTGACTACTGTCAGAACCAGGGATCAAATATGGATGAATCAAAAAACCCCAGGAATCTTTCAGATGATCCAGATAAACTATCTTCTGAAAGATTCTGGTCCACCAACAGGTCATCCCATACCAGATCTGGTCAACCAGTACTGAGCTTGCTAAAAAGTTCCTCTTAGTGCTCACAGGGCAGAATTTAAAATAAAAACCTAGCAATATATTAAAAGATAAAACCGAAAGTTGAATATAAGTATGTTTACAATTTCACTTTATGATTTACCTGAAGAATGCACTCGGAACACTAACACATCCCTGAAATTTTCCAGCTGACAATTCATCGATATTATCTTCATAATCGTCGTAACAATTATCATCATATCCTATATCTGCATCTGAACATATTACATATTTTAATTAATACGCTCTATAAGTATTTGCAAACTAATAATAATAAATTAATTAATTAATGCTCCTAGTCCTTAAAATATTATTTTATTAATATTAGTCTATTGTGACTATAATCTATTAACAGGACTTATACTGATTTAACTTGCAGATGAAATAAGAGATTGAATCAGTCTCAACTCAAATGAATATACTTTTATTTGCACCAGTACACAAAATTCACTTATATTTTGGACCTTTTTGTCCCTCCTCAGTAGGTGTTTTATTAGATATATTTCTAAAATACAATAAAGTTTTAATTATAAAATAAAAATTTTTTAAATTATAAAATCTTATACAATAATACATACTTAATATACTTTAGACAACTTATTCTGAACTTTTGCACAAGTCTTCTAAGTTTTTTTCCCTTTTCTGAGGAATAAAACTCCAAATCTATTGCTCATTTCTTTTCTTTTTTTTTTTTTTTTNGACAACTTATTCTGAACTTTTGCACAAGTCTTCTAAGTTTTTTTCCCTTTCCTGAAGAATAAAACTCCAAATATATTGCTCATTTTTTTTTTTTTTTTTTTTAATTTTAAACAAAATACTCCTCAAACCTTTTAACCAGAGTGCTTCTATTTATAGAATCGCGAATGTTTTCGTTGCCCCTCCTTCAGGCTTTAATGAATAGGCCATTACTAGAACAGTAACAGCCTATTCGTTAAAGCCTGAAGAAGAGCCCAGGAGGGGCAACGAAAACATTCACGATTCTAAAAATAGAAGCACTCTGGTTAAAAGGTTTGAGGAGTATTTTGTTTATATTTACTGGTGTGTAGAGAGATTGTATTTTTAATTTTTTCATTTTTTGGCCTATTTAAAATATTTTATTTTTTAATTAATTAATTATAAATCTATTTTTAAATTTCTTGCTTTTTATGTTTTTCTCTCCTTTCTCTTTTCTATATTTCTTTTACTCCTGTGACTTTGGCTATACTTTTTTCCCTTCCTTATTCTTCTGCTGTTGTCATGTTTAAATAGTTCTGATGTTGTCATGTTTAAATTAAGACACCCTCTATATATTCCATATCAGATGTATTTCTTTTCCATTACCATCATTAATTTTATTTTTACTTTATATGTTATTGTATTTAAATGTTTATAAAGTTGTCTTTTAAATGTATTTTTTTCTTTATTTTTTAAATCAATTCTCTTATTATTTCACATCCGTTCTCATTGCAGCGACATGCTACCATATTTGTGTAATTTTTCCAAACCAATCTCGTACATTCTTTAACTCTTATTCCTAATTTTCTTTTTGTTTCTCCTACATCTGTTAAATTATTTAGACAACTACATTTGAATGAATAAACCTTCTGTCATTTTTTATTTTCCTATAATTTAAATATTTCTTTATTTGATTATTTTGATCTGGTATTAAATTTATATTTCTCTTATTAACAGTTTTATACTTTTTGAAAATTTTTAGTACACATGTAAACTTAACACATTTTCTTCATAATAATTCTTCATTCTTTCTGTTTTTGTTTCTTACTGCTTATTTCACTTAACCATTCTTGTAACTTTTTCTTGGATATTCATTCAATAAAAATATTTTTACTATATTTTCTATCTCTTTTTGTTTTTTTCTATTTTTGTAGTTCTTTTTGTAATTTTATTCATGTACATTTGTTCTTTTTCATATTTATTGGTATTAGAATCATAATTTACTATTTTTGATACTCCTACAAGCTTTACATACTTTGAATATTCTAAACTATTTTTTGTAATGTTAATGTTAAGTCTAAATAGTTTATATTATATCTTTTGCTTCTGTTTCTATTTCAAGTTGTGTTATTATTTATCTTGTTAGCTTCTTTACATATATTTTAAAACTTCACTTGTTATAGTTTTATCAAATAAAATTATACAATCTTCTACACACCTGCTATAAAATTAAATCCCCTCAGTTTCTTATTTTTCGTCTATTCATCCAAGAAACTGATTCAATCTAATTTCATCCGCAAGTTAAATAGATTATAGTCACAATAGACTAACGTTAATAAAATAATAATTAAAATGAACGCTTTAATCATACCAAGATAATCTTCATTTCTCTCCTCAACGTTATTAAATCGATTCTGAACGTTATTTTTACGATAACAACGACCGTCTATCCACGTTAATTCGGGACGAAGGACATCCATCGTTTGTATTTATTTATAACGAAATGAGTATCTTCTTTTCGTTCTATAAAATACCGGGCAACGCCAATACGAAACTCAAACCAAATAGTCTATTATAACAAACTATTTGCTCAAACTACAGAGTGAAGGTTGCCAACCTGTACAGATATACGTCCGCTACACGTGTAAAGCAAAATGGACGCTTGTGTTTATAATACATTATGCTGTTAAAATAAAAAAGTCGAAGTGACTGTTGATAAAAATATTATGGAAAGATTAAAGAAGTATTAAATTTTATATTATTAATCTGAAAGTTATCTAAAAAATAAGAAAATACGTTTTAAATATAATTATATATCTTCTATCTCTTTACTTTGTTCATATTTATGGAAAGATAAATGCGCAATTCTTTATATCTCTTTATTTAAATATTGTAGTTCTTTAACTAAAGCACTACTTTCGACTGTAACTGGAATTAAAGGATAGATTATGGCGTCCATGTTTCGCTCGAGCGGAAAACGTTTCTAAACATTGATGCATCAGGCCGGATGACCGAACGGTCAAGGTGGTAATCTACCGCTCTGGGGGACCGAGATCGAATCCGGACGGGTCAAGGAATCTCCAGGAATTTTTCGGGGGGTGGTTTGTTCGGATATGTCGGGCACTGTCCCTCACCACTCGGTCGCCCCATTCTGGGCCTGGCTGAACCCATAATGGGCCTGCTATAAAAGGCCCTCTTAGTGCCCACAGGGCGGAAAGAGTATTAAAAAAACTATGATGCAGCGACGTGCAGCGATAGCTGCTCGTGACGTCATTTTCGCTACACTCTCGCTGCATAAAGAAACGCTGCCAATAGCTGCCAATGCTAAGAGCCGCCGCCGCAAACTAGCACTATGCGAGAACAAAACGCTAGCAAACGTGCGCTAGCACAACCGATGACGTCAAAGGCTCCGCCCCTTTTCCATTACCTGAGCGGTTTTTCCTTTGTTAGCTCAGCGATACGAGAGTACGCTCGCTGTTCACAGAATTCGACAACCAGAGCAGTTACGCTAGCAAGAGAGGGCGGAGAAATGGATGACTACATGAACATGTCATTACATGATTAGTACATTCAATATTGAAAAGAATATAGTATAAACGTTGTATATAAATAGTTATATATAAATAGTTTTCGGCTAGTTAAGCCTAACTAGACTTAACTAGTAAACATGTTTTTCCCATGCTGTTTCAAAGTTCGGAACGAAAACTGACTGATTACAAGTATAGATTATAATAAAATCTTGTTCTATAGCTAATCCACGTTATGTGGACTATGTTACGCGAGCAAACGTTGTGTAGTTTGCGGCTGCTTCTTGCTTGCGTAGCTTACCTAGCAAAAATGGCTCATAGCCTTATGGGAAAAAAAGGCGGGGCTTGGGAGCCCGACCCGAGCGTACGCTAGCTCTCGCTTCCTGTAGTTTGCGGCAGCTGTAATGTTACTATACTGGCAATGCTGCCGCCTGCTTCTGGTGGAACAAAGAGGCGCGTTTGGAAATTGTAACCGGTATTACTGGTAACACCGGTTACAATTTCCAAACGCGCCCAAAGTCTATAAACGTAGTAATATCAAGACACGATATGGCGACTGCCGTGATGCATCGCGGCAGTCGCCATGTTGGGTTGTGTACGGTTTGTGTGTACGGTGTTTATAGAACGAAGCTGATTGTTTGTTTCTTTTGATCTCAATTAGTTGGATTTCTTGTTATACATATGTTTTTTGTCCAAGTGACATTTTATTGTTTGATAATGTCCTCAACTTTTTTAATGTACATTAAAAAAACATGATTTGCTTACATTTTAGAAGCTTTTTTTAAACAAATGTTAATAACTACTAGATGTCTTTCCATTCGATCTAATTATCGCCCAAGTTATGGGTATACCACCACTAGCTACTCTTTTTGACTACTGCTTTTGATTTAATCTTTTGTCTGCCCAATAACATTTAAAACGATCAGGTTCGTCGAGACTCCACTTTTTCACATCCCGGAAAAATAGTTTTCGCCATCTTTCTCCTCTTTCAAAGTTGTTTTTTGGCAAACCGTAATAGAAGTTGTTTGTGTTTGTCCTTGAGCTGGTTGCCTGTCTTTATTTTGATGAAAGAAACATTCTCTGTTCATCTCAAAACATTGTGTACTGTTGATTTATTGACGCTCAGCTTCGATTCATTCTTGATTTTTTGAACAAATGTGTTTTCTTGCAGTGCATGTCAAACAATTGTACATCGTTCTCTAGGTGTTGTTAAACTCTTACGCCCACCTTTTCGTTTTCCTATTTATTTCTCATTATTATTGAGATAATTTGAGATCATTAAATGATGTCTTTCCAAATATTTAGCGCTGCAAGTTACTTTATTCTCTTTTGGGCGAAATATATCTATTTTGATCTTCTCTTCTACATTTAATTCCTTCCCTTGCCCCACTTTTAATAGTAAGGTAACTTTCAATTTAATAAACCTTTCTTTTTACTTGTTGATCATATTTTTTTTGCAAATTTCACAGATTCTAATAATATCTAATTCTTATTTATTAATTATTTTTCTCCAAACTTATGCAGTAATTGTTGATATTCTATAATCATACGTACTAGAAAATTTCATTAACGTTACATGAAAATAAAGAGTTTCTAGGCAACAACTGCATGTTCTATACTTGTTGGAAAAACTGCACAATAGCCCTAAATTAAAGCAAAATTCAGATTTATCTTATATTTTACAAAAATACAAAATGTCTAAAAATATACAGATCGATCATCAAAGCAAAGAATCGAAATTTACTGCTTATCATTTAGGATGACTGAAAATCGATTGTATTGTTGTATCTATATTTTAAATTTAAATGAAATGTTCCAAAACATTTACATGCTTGTACGATAATAAAGTAAGTACATTAAACGAAATTACATTCATCTGAAAATTTGAAGTCTACAATTTACACGTGTCCAAAACTACATGACAAAAAACATTTGTACTCGTACATGAATAGAGCAAATTGTAAGTGAAGGCATACGAATTACTCTATCTTTAACACTGGGTAATACACAATAACTTGTAGATTTTACAATTCAAGGCAATAAAATATAACTTGGAGATTAGATAAAGCAGTTAGACTAGACTTAGGGGATCTTACTAATGATCTTACTAATACAAAGACCTTTCGTTATGCAATACGCCAACCTAAAAGTGAGATGCAGAAGCACCCAGAACGTCGTGGCAGGCTGGTCATCACGTGACTTTTTCTAGCTATCAATCACTTGATTTAGTATTTAAGTTTAGGACACGTATGTAGTAAGTATTTGAACTAGAACATAGAGATTTCAGTCACGTTTTTCTATTTCATATTCCACTGATATAAAGTTATATCTTAATTCATTAATTAGAGTTGTGACTGGTGGGTCAACAGTTTTTTGATGTGTCCTCAAGACCACCATCGCGTCTCATTCGGCACGGAAGCCGCGACAGCGAATAGTTTTGGTTTTTAAAGTAGGTTACGCGATGGGTCGCGTGTTTGCGCGATCCGATTCCTGACAAAGTCTGCGTGACAGCGAGTTGGAAGTGACTCATTCGGATTAGGCTGTGTACACATTAGGCGTTTTTAAACGCGCGTTTTAAAGAATCAAGAATTCTGCATAGGCATACATACTCAAACGCGCGCTTTTGCTCAAGCGCACGTTGATAGATTTTTGTTAAAACGCGCGGTTTACGGGCGTCAGCCGCGCGTTTTGAGATATATGTGCTGTCATGTTGTTGTACATTCGATCGCGCGCTTTCGGGTAGAGTGGACGTACGTTGGCCGAATTGGAGAACGATCATTTCGATACTGATCTATTTATTGATGAAATCTAAAAGTGACCGGCCATCGTCAAATGATTTTATAGATATTCTAAAAGAATTAAAAAATTTGGGTTCATATTATCTTAGTTTTGGATACAACGTCAGAAACATTCCATGCGTCAGTCTATCTCTTAATATTGGATACACCCAAAATTCTCTTTGCCTCTGCCATCGTCTTTTATAGCGACGATGGAGGAGGCGCACACAAGCAATTACTTTCACGTCTATTTCCAAACTGAGCCAGTGCTAACGCTCCACTAAATGGTCGTCGAACGCCGAGCTAACGCGCGTTTAACGCAACGCAAAACGCCTGATGTGTACAAGCCCTTAAAGTTGAACAAACAAATTCGGTAAGCGTTTGATACTGACTTTGATTTAATAATTATTTCTGTCTACAATCTGCAATGTATGCAGTTTTGAGTTTTGCAGCTATTCGAATTGTATTTTTATAGCACTTTGCAAATATCATCCTTGTAGTTCTGAAGGATACCGAGATACGACAGTGTAAAGGTGAGGGTAAGATGGATACGGACTGTACAAATTAATAAGGTACAAAACAGATTTAATCAGAGAATGATATAATTCTGAGGTTCATTTACATTTAAAAATATAGATGGGAATTCCGTTGCCCTTTCTAACCCGACACGATAACAGAAAAAAAAAATCATAACTTACGCGACGCGACAATCAGGGATCTTTTAGGTTAGGACTACTACAATATTCTTACAAGAACGATGATAGTTGAGCCCTCCATGTGATGTCTCTCTCTTGCTGATTTCCACTTTTACGTGGTTGTTCCTTCCTTCCTCTTTCTTTCTGCACTCCAACTCGATTCTTCTGTCGTAGACCGGACACGATCCAGGAGAAAAAAGGTACTGTACTCTTATACACGTGGCATTTCCATTTATAACCCGCGCCATATACACAATGTTGCCGATTTGCTTGCCATCGGTAGATTACTTGGGCAATTTTCGGTAGATTTCGGTAGTTTTTCGGTAGATCGACTTTTTGTGGCAGTAAGGGGGTTGCACATAAACAATAACACTTTTTTCGTTATTTATTTTATTATAAACTATAAAAAACAACAAAAAACTAACACAGAACACTTACATAAAAAAATAATAATTTACTAATTTAAGTAGGTATATTTTGTCTTCTTTTTCTAACAAAAAATTACCTTTTATTTATCGGATATTAATAATAATAATTATTATTATTCAATATCTTCCGTTTGTATGTTTTTTAACACACTGTTTGTTATTTTTGAAATTAAATTATCTTTTACAGGAAAATCGTAACAGTAATTTTTTCCAATTAATTGTTTAGTTAAAAGTAAGCCAGTAATTGTTTCAGAGCTCAGTTTATTTCTTTGTTTCGTTTTTAACAAATTTATTGACGAAAATATTCTTTCCACATTAGCTGAAGAATGAGGCAGACACAAGATATTCTCAACAAAACGAGACAACACTGGAAAAACAAGTGTTTTATCGCCTAGAGTAATAGTTTTAATATTTTGCCAGAAAACTTGCACATCATTGCTAAATGATTGTATTTCTTGATTATTTCTTAATAGTCTCCATTCGGAATCTAAACTTTGAAGCTCGCGATCAGTTATAAGATTAGGAAATAACAAGGCAACATCTGTAATTGTATGTATAGTCCCACTTTTGACAACGGTTGGGTTCAAAAAACGAAATTTTTTTATAGAGTTGTTTTTAAGAGGAAATCTAGCAGTAATTTGGGTGCAACCTTCAATGTAAAAATCCAAACAACGTAGTCGAAAAAATTTAATCTGTTCATCTGTAAGGTTCAGTCGCGTCATTGAAGCGACGACTTTTGCTCCAAAATACATGTTTTCTATAGCTAAATAATTTCTTGGATTTTTAAAATCAATATTTTCGATTGAAGTGGTTGTTATATAATTTCTTTGAAGGAAGCAATCATAAATTGTTTTCAAAACCAGGCAAACATTATCATACAAAACATGCAATTTTGGGGACTCGGATTGCATTTCTATATTTAAAATATTGAATAGAGGCAACACATAATCCAAAAATTCTAGAAATAATTTTGAAACTGGATCATTCAATTTCTGCAGTATATTATTTGCAGCAAGGACATCATTACTGTTGACAGCATCAGTAAAATATAGTTTCAGAGCAGCGTACTGTTCTAAGATTCGAATTACCACACCATGAACTGAAAGCCATCTGGTTTGCGATGGATGTAGAATTTTGTGGGTTTTTATATTGCAAAATTGCTGAAATTGGCTGAATTCACAAACTCTTTTTGGGCTAGAATTAAAATAATTGTAAATATCGCGGCAGAGATCTTCGACGTACCTAGGTAATTTGTGACACGCATATGATGCGCACAAGTGAAACGAATGGCATATACATTTTATAATATATAAGTTAGGTATATCATTTTTTAATAGTGTCATCAAAGAATGGTGACTTCCCATCATAACATTAGCTCCATCGGATGCAAACCCTATCAAATTATTTTTGTAGGGAATATTATTGTGGTTAAACATTTCAGCAATGTGATTATATAAGGTAGTTGCATCAGAAACCCTTAATTTAACAAGACCAAAAAAACTATCTTGAATAACGTCATCTTTTAAATACCTTACAACTAAGCATAAGTGTTTTATTGTGCTCCGATCCGTTGATTCATCCACGATAAGGGAAAATTTCTTATTTCGTAAATCTTCACAAACCTGAAGAAAACCCTCGTTACCAGTAACGTACTTCACAATAGCTGTTGTTTTAGTTCTGCTGCATGCCAATCCTTGAGCAATTTTCGAGTCGGGACAAATGTTCATAATTAATTTCGGCAGATGCTCCATGACCAAGAAAGGCAGGTTGTGCTCTGCTACGAATGCTGAAAGGCGTATTTCCCCTGAATAACAAATAACATTAATAATACTGAATATAACAACAGTAATGAATCAATTAGTTTTATTTTTTAACTGTCAACGTACCTTCTTTAATTGATGCCTCCAATTGTTTTTGCCTTGATCCGGATATAGCAAAAGTTTCCATCATTGAGACTTGTTTACTTGAGATCGTCTCCACTTTTTTATGTGAAATTTCCCGACACTATGTTTAAGTAAAGCGTCTTTTCCACTTGAAATGATTATGTCTTTACCACAAGGCTTGCAAAGTGCAAATTGTCGCCCTTTTTTACTTTTGGTTAACCACCCTTTGAACTCTGGTAGGGTTTCCCACTCGTGTTTGTAGAATTGTTCATATTTCTTTTTTTTAGTAACACCGGTACTAGAGCCTTCACCACCACTATCGTACTTTTGGTCGCTCATTTTTGGATTTCTAATATTTCATTTCTGGCGATTTCCGTTATAATGTTACCAGTGATTATGCTACTACATAATAGAGGGCGCTAAACAGATCAGCAGAAATAACTTGTAATAAAGTCTTTTATAATATATAAGAAACGAAGGTACAACGTAATGTTTTATTGAGAATTTTTAGATACATTGAAAATAAAAATTTCTTTCTTGAATTATCGTCAACTTTTCGGTAGATTTGGTGCTTCAATCGGTAGATCGGTAGACCAGATCCAAAATCGGTAGATCTACCGAAAATTCGGTAGACGCGGCAACACTGCATATACATGACGTGGTAACAAACGTCAGAGCTCAAAGGCCAATCACGAGCTCGCACCACCATACCGCAAGATGTGATACATATTTACGGAATAAAATTACAAAACACCTCGATTCGCGACAATACGAAATATATATATATATGTATATATAGTGACAACATTACATATACTTACAGTTAGTGATAATCACTACGTCCTCATTTTGAGTTGATTCCTCACAAGGTTAACAATAAACGTGCAGTGTGTCCACATCAGTACTACGAGTATTTATCGTTGCTTTCCTCTGTTCAAAATGCAAATTTCGAAAGTGACTCAAGCTAAATAACATTTTACTTGGATATTCGATGTTTAAAAATGGAAATTTCAGAAATATTTTAGGTGTCATAAGTAATCTATCAGTCGGACACACTCAAACTCACGAATAATAGAAATCCTGATGAAGACTGTCAAATCCCTTGTTAGTTAACTCTCAGTGGTCAACTTCTCTTGTCAACCTATATTTCTGAGACACCAAAAGTTTGTATGGAATGCAATTTAAAGCAGAAACATTGTGTGTTTTTGCAATTTCAATGTGGAATATTTTTCTTATTTAACAAAAAAAGTATTAAAGATTTACTTTTCAATAGTAGTAATTATATTTGTTTATAGTGGTAAGCATCAGCACTATTTTTGAAATCTGAAAATATCTATTATTTATTATTATTATTACGTTTATTTTATATATTANTCCAATTAATTATTTGGTAAGAAGTGAGCCAGCGATTGTTTCGAGCTCAGTTTATTTCTTTGTTTCGTTTTTAACAGATTTTTTGACGAAAATATTCTTTCCACATTAGCTGAAGAATAAGGCAGACACAACGAGACAACACTGGAAAAACAAGTGTTTCATCGCCCAGAGTAATAGTTTTAATATTTTGCCAGAAAACTTTCACATCATTGCTAAATGACTGTATTTCAGCAATGATGTGCTAAAATACATTATTTCTTAATAGTCTCCGTTCGGAATCTAAACTTTGAAGCTCGCGATCAGTTATGAGATTAGGAAATAAGGCAACATCTGTAACTGTATGTATAGTCCCACTTTTTACGACGGTTGGGTTCAAAAAACTAAATTTTTTTATAGAGTTGTTTTTAAGAGGAAATCTAGCAGTAATTTGGGTGCAACCTTCAATGTAATAATCCAAACTGTTAACATAGTCAAAAGACTTTAATCTGTTCATCTGGAAGGTTCAGTCGCGTCATTGAAGCGACGACTTTTGCTCCAAAATACATGTTTTCTATAGCTAAATAATTTCTTGGATTTTTAAAATAAATATTTTCGATTGGATGGTTGTTATATAATTTCTTTGAAGGAAGCAATCATAAATTGTTTTCAAAACGAGGCAAACATTTTCATACAAAACATGCAACTTTGGGGACGCGGATTACATTTCTATATTTAAAATATTGAATAGAGGCAACACATAATCCAAAAATTCTAGAAATAATTTTGAAACCGTATCATTCAATTTCTGCAGTATAATATTTGCAGCAAGGACATTATTACTGTTGGCAGCATCAGTAAAATATAGTTTTAGAGCAGCGTACTGTTCTAAGATTCGAATTACCACCACCATGAACTGAAAGCCATCTGGTTTGCGATGGATGTAGAATTTTGTGGGTTTTTATATTGCAAAATTGCTGAAATTGGCTGAATTCACAAAACCTTTTTGGACAAGAATTAAAATAATTGTAATATCGCGGCAGAGATCTTCGACGTACAGTACCTAGGTAATTTGTGACACGCATATGATGCCCACAAGTGAAACGAATTGCATATACATTTTATAATATATAAATTAGGTACATCATTTTTTAATAATGTCATCAACGAATGGTGACTTCACGTCATAATAGTAGCTCCATCGGATGCAAACCCTATCAAATTGTTTTTGTACAGAATATTATTGAGGTTAAACATTTCAGCAATGTCATTATATAAGATAGTTGCATCGGATTCCCTTAATTTAAAAGACCAAAAAAACTATCTTGAGTAACGTCATCTTTTAAATACCTTACAACTAAGCGTAAGTATTTTATTGTGCTCCGATCCATTGATTCATCCACGATAAGGTAAAATTTCTTATTTCTTAAATCATCACAAACCTGAAAAAAACCCTCGTTACCAGTAACGTACTTCATAATGGCTGTTGTTTTGATTCTGCTGCATGCCAATCCTTGAGCAATTTTTGAGTCGGGACAAATGTTCATAATTAATTTCGGCAGATGCTCCATGACGAAGAAAGGCAGGCTGTGCTCTGCTACGAGGCGTATTTCCCCTGAATAACAAATTACATTAATAATACTAAATATAACAACAGTACTGTAATGAATCAATTAGTTTCATTTTTTAACTGTCACAAAAATGTACCTTCTTTAATTGATGCCTCCAATTGCTCTTGCCTTGATCCGGATATAGCAAAAGTTTTCATCACTGAGACTTGTTTACTTGAGATCGTTTCTAATTTTTTTATATGAAATTTCCCGACACTATGTTTAAGTAAAGCATCTTTTCCATTTGAAATGTTTATGTCTTTGCCACAAGGCTTGCAAAGTGCAAATTGTCGCCCTTTTTTACTTTGGATTAACCACCCTTTGAACTCTGGTAGGGCTTCCCACTCGTGTTTGTAGAATTGTTCATTTTTCTTTTTTAGTAACGCCGGTACTAGAGCCTTCACCACCACTATCGTACTCTTAGTCATTCATCTTTGGATTTCTAATAGTTTTTAATTTTTCACGGTGTGAATAATTAAAAGAGTACATTTCTGGCGATATCTGTTATAATTACAGTGACCATATTTTTGGGGGGAAAATAAAGGACATATCGAAGAAAATCAAAAAATACCTTATAAAATTCATAAGTTTATAATATTTATTATGAAAATAGTAGCATACAATAATGCATACATTAAAATTTTAAACAATCTGAATTATTACACATAAACACATTGTAAAAATTTAAATAACATTAATTTTGATACTTTTCAGTAGAATTAATTTTTTTTAGTGCCGTTTCATGCTTTAAAGTCGTAAAATTCCATACAATTCATTTGAAAGTTGTACTGTATTTGATGGAAATACATGCTTCTAATGTGCTTACTTTTAAATCAGTTTTTTCATTCGTCCACATATTATTCACCAATGAAAATATTCGTTCAATGGGGGCATTAGATCCAGGGAGACAAAGAAAATTCTACGATTTTACAAATGTTTTTGAAAACAACTTCTTTTGCTGTAAAATGTTCAAAACTCTCAATCCACCTTTGATGGCAAGGCTGGTTATTCTGTCACCATTCGTCGATCTTTTCGTTTGTGACATATTTTTTTACGCATGAAACTTCATCAAATAATTCACCATCGAGTATATTTACGGACCAATGATTCGAAATAAAGATATAGCTTTCCTCTACTTTCGCCCACAAA